TAAATTTAGCAAAAACACACATTTTGAGAAATGTGATGCCCAGATTTGATTGTAGTTTTGTTATTATGAATTATGCACTTTTAAAAGTAAGAAGAATAAGACATAAAAATAATAAATTTAGTGCGTGCGCATGTTTGCAATTTAAAAAAAATCTTTTGACCTCAAGTACGTATCAATATATATACCAATAAGGTAAAAATAGAATAATTGAATAAATTAAAATTGACCCATACGTAATTATAACTCTTAGCTTGACTAACAAAATTTTAACTTATAATTTTATTTAAAATTATAGACTACGTATATACATCAAATGTATGTATGAAGTCCTTACTGCAGGTTCAGTGGTTCAATGGATTGATTTTATTTGGAAATTCAAATTTAATTTCACATATACCAAGTATAATACTTAAGATTTTGTTTAATTTGGAGGCCCCCTAAGACTTGGGGCCCTAGACATTTGTCTAGGTCAAATGGCCCCATGGCCGGTCCTACGGGGTAGTGGGGTAGCAATAGGGTAAGGGCAAGGGGTAAAGGTAAGGGTAAATTCGGAAACTGAAAAAGATTAAAGTGCCGCTTAATTAATACATGGGGTGTGGTGTGCTTATTAAGCGGTACTTTAAGCACATCTTTCGGTTAGTAAGTAACGTTTTAAGCAACTTGCGTGTTTACTTCACCTGTCTTACTAACCTAACTGTGACTTTAGCAACGAAGTAAACGTCTCCTTTCATCCTTAGATAACCTATTCATAACCCTACACTAGACCTGTGATCAGAAAAAGTGACACATAGAGCATTACCTGAGCTTTCTTTTGCAGTTCTTGGCTTTTTCAAGGATACAAATGAATGTTCTTTTGTTAAAAATGGTTTTAAAGAGTGGGGTCTACAGTATATGAATTGTGGTTTGATGTAAGTGTACTTTATTATCTTATTAATCGTAGAATGTTTTGATCGTCTATAATTAAGTTGGATCTATTTATATCTGAAACTGAAATAAGTCCAAAGAAATAGTTGCTCACTAGTAGTGTAGAAGAACCATCTATCAATTTCTATAGGTATCTTCCACCTTCTTTCTTGGAAGTTGCCAAGAGACACCTTAACATGGAGGCACCTTCTTGAAAAGAGCTCTCCAACAAATAGGTGTGGGAGAAGATATGGAGATAACTAGGAAGCTTGGATGCAACTTCCTCATGTCTCCAAACCAACCCTATAAATAGAGTGTTCCATTGTTGTTCATAGTATCGGTTTAGAAAGTGAGAAAAGTGTGTGAAGAGTGAAATACACTTAGTGTAGAAGTGTATTGGTGAGGATTGGTTTTTTGTAATAGTTGAGTGTGAGAGTTTGCTCCTCCTATTGTAATTCTGTTCTTGATATTGAATAGAAGAATTTTCCAATCCCAACAAGTGGTATCAGAGCGAGGTGGAGTTTCCATACACTGTTTTCTCATTTTCAGATAAATTTCTACAGGTTAGAAAATCGTGATTTTTCAAGTTGCTTGGAATCAGGATCTGATCATACCGTTAGATTCGTCTCGGCGAGACGAGAAATCTGGTTTTTTTGGGGATTTTTTTGGCCACCGGAAGAGGCCGTACGCTCTGCCGGAAAACTGCTTGCATCATCACTGCGTCATCACGCAGTCCAGAGGAAGAAGACGATCCACGTCAGCTGCCACGTCATCGCCACGTTGGACCACGTCAGCGACACGTGGTGACGAGTCATCCGCCACGTCATCCACCCGAGCCGTCCGCTGTGAGCCACGTGAGACGCCACGTGGCTGCACGTCATCGCCACGTCAGCGAGGGAGCAGAGCCACGTCATTCGCCTGTTGGGCTGCAGGATGGGCTGCTGCCTGAACCGGACCGAACCGGTTCGTGCTTTTGGAGGCCGGTTCACCCGTTTCCAGACCAGTTTTGGACGAGGTCAGACCGGTTCTTACCATTTTCGGCCATTCCGGATCCAACGGTGAGCTCCGTTTGTCCAAATTCGGCTTTGAAAATAAGGTACGAGATATATAGAGCATTTTATTATGGATAAATCATCGTCGGACACCATGATTGCGCTCACATCCACAAACTACAATATGTGGAAGCCTCGGATGGAGGATTTGCTAAATTTGAGGGATTTAGCGGATCCTCTTGATAATAATGGTGTGAAACCGGATAAAAAGACGGATGAAGAATGGACAAAAATGAATCGAAAAACTGTCGCACAAATTCGACAATGGATAGATCATAGTGTGTTCCACCATGTTGCTCAAGAACAAAGTGCTTACACATTATGGGAGAAGCTTGGTAGCATGTATCAAGCAAAAACCGCCCGAAATAAGACGTTACTAATGAGGAGATTAGTAAACCACAAATTACGTGGGGGTATTTCGGTGTCAGAACACACCAGTCAATTCCAGGATCTTGTGAATCAGTTGAGCACCACCGGATGGGTTCTCAAAGATGAAGAGCAGGCGATACTACTCTTGAGCTCTCTACCTGACAGCTGGGAGACTCTTGTTGTCACTCTCAGTAATTCTGCTCCAAATGGGAAGGTGACTATGCAGATGGTCACAGATGCCCTGATGAATGAAGAAGCCCGAAGGAAGGAAGCCGGAACGGAACAATCATATGTCCTCATATCAGAAACTAACAGACGAGGGGGAGGCAGAAGGGGAGGAAGAAGTCGAGGTCGAGGTAGAGGTCAAGGTCAAAGTAGAGGAAATTCTCAAGTTCGCGGAAGATCACAAGAGAGAGGCATGTCCTTTGAAAACAATACTTGGTTCGAAGGATATTGCAATTACTGTAGTAATTATGGACATAGGAAAAGAGATTGTAGAAAGTTTCTACGAGAGAAGCCACAGACGAGTCAAAATACTAGCCAAGAAGATGGTGAGACCATGGTTAGTTTGTCATCAGACGTGTGTCTTGTTACACATGGTGAACAAGAATGTTTACACGTAGGCACTCATGATGTTGAGTGGGTGATTGATACAGCCGCATCATTTCACGCCACTCCACACCAGAACTTATTCACAACTTATAAGTCCGGAGACTTTGGAGCTGTGAAGATGGGAAACACCAGTTTCTCGAAGATTGTTGGCATTGGTGATGTGCACATAATAACCAATGTCGGATGCGCACTTGTGTTGAAAGATGTTCGACACGTTCCGGATCTTAGATTGAATCTTACCTCCGGTACAGCTCTGGATCAACAAGGATATCTCAACCGATTCAAAGAAGGTACGTGGAAGCTATCTAAAGGTTCCTTGGTGGTTGCAAGAGGCCATATTTGTAGCACTCTTTATAAAACTCATGCAAAGTTGTGTCATCCGAGTCTCAATGCTGTTGAAGAAGAGATATCACCAAACTTGTGGCACCGGAGGTTAGGTCACTTGAGCGTGAAGGGATTGACAACTCTTGCAAAGAAGGAAGTCATTTCCATGGGCAAAGGTGTTGCCCTAGATTCATGCGAGCACTGTCTATTTGGGAAACAACACAAGGTTTCCTTCAGTTCTACCTAGAAGAACCATACAAAGTTACTCAGTCTTGTCCACTCTGATGTATGTGGACCCATTGAAGAGGAGTCACTTGGAGGAAGCAGATACTTCGTGACATTCATTGATGATGCATCACGAAAGGTATGGGCCTACTGTTTAAATCGTAAGGATCAAGTGTTTGATCAATTCAAATCATTTCATGCCATGGTAGAAAGAGAAACAGGGAAGAAGCTGAAGTGTCTGCGTTCAGACAATGGAGGAGAGTACACTTCCCGAGAATTCTCAGCATATTGTGCCGCATATGGAATCAGACATGAGAAGACGGTTCCACGAACTCCGCAACACAATGGTGTAGCCGAAAGAATGAATCGGACCATTATGGAGAAAGTTCGTTGCATGTTGAGTCTGGCTAAGCTACCTAAGCCATTTTGGGGTGAAGCTGTGCTGACAGCTTGTTATCTTATAAACAGGTCACCTTCTGTTCCTTGAAACTTTGAAGTGCCAGAGAAGAAATGGTCAGGAAGAGATGTTTCTTACTCTCACTTGAAAGTGTTCGGGTGCAAGGCATTTGCACATGTGTCCAAGGAGTTGAGACAGAAGCTTGATCTCAAGCCAAACCGATGTATCTTCATCGGCTATGGAGATGAAGAATTCAGATACCGGTTGTGGGATCCCGAAGTGAAGAAAGTTATTCGAAGCAGAGATGTTGTATTTCATGAAAACGAGTTTCATGGGTGTGCTCCAATAATCCGCCAACAACATACTCCAGAAGACGAAGTGCCTGTATCATCAAACATTCCTCTCAGCGACGAGGAGATGCATGATTCTACTGAACACGAGAGTGATGGTTCAGCAGGTGATGATGATACTCACAATGATGATATTCCTCAGCCGGGGGAGCCTTCATCTGAAGACGAATCTGAAGGTATTCATGTTCGACGTTCTATGCGAGGCATAGTTCCACAAAGAAAATACTCCACATCCGAATGGATACTTGTTGCCAGCGAGGGGGAGCCAACGAGCACCGCAGGAACGAGAGAAATAAAGAAAAAGGTGGAGGGGGAGATTTGTAGGTATCTTCCACCTTCTTTCTTGGAAGTTGCCAAGAGACACCTTAACATGGAGGCACCTTCTTGGAAAGAGCTCTCCAACAAATAGGTGTGGGAGAAGATATGGAGATAACTAGGAAGCTTGGATGCAACTTCCTCATGTCTCCAAACCAGCCCTATAAATAGAGTGCTCCATTGTTGTTCATAGTATCGGTTTAGAAAGTGAGAAAAGTGTGTGAAGAGTGAAATACACTTAGTGTAGAAGTGTATTGGTGAGGATTGGTTTTTTGTAATAGTTGAGTGTGAGAGTTTGCTCCTCCTATTGTAATTCTTTTCTTGATATTGAATAGAAGAATTTTCCAATCCCAACAATTTCTTGGTTTTAAAGCACACAAAAACCACACAAAAGTGTACTCCGTATTACATTTGTTGTTGTTTTTCTTTACATCTTCGATTTTGATTTCACACAATTTTGTTGTTTGAGAAGCTGGAGATCAAGAGGGTATTTGTGCTTTTGGAAAACTTTAAATCTTTTTAAAAGTGGACATTCAAACAAACACCTAGAGATAAGTACAATGGAGGTGTAGTATGTATGCATGTGTACAGAATTGCTTTTTTAAGAGTCCATAAGAATCATGGAAGAAGAAATAGCATGGGCGAGTACTGTTTGCCAGCCAGCCCAGTTCGTTGGTCTTCAAAATGTTGAGCAGTAAGAGGAAACTGATTTGCTATTCATTGACTGCTGTGTTGATGATCTCTTTGAACTGTTCTCAGCTGCAGAGGAGTCTTGATGTGTACTCTTTCCACAATTCTTCATTCTTTTGCAGGATTTCATGTGTGAATATAGTTTCTCCGGGTTGAATGGCTTCCCACATTGCCTGCCCTCCAAGAAACAAATCCCCATATCGGGCAGGTTATGATGAGTTATGCTACTCACTACTCAGATTCTGTGTTCTATAATAATCAGGTTTAATTTCAGAATATGTCCAAAGTGGCCCATAAGCTAGTGGTTAAAATAGGACTTTGAAACTCGAAGTATAGTCAATAAAACTAGTGTCAAATACATCCATTTTTATTGAAAAATACTATAGGTACCTTATTTTGGGGCAACTCATTTGTACCCCCTCCTATTGTGTGGCTTAGATGGAACAATTCATTTAAGTGGGACAACTCATTTAAATGATGAGCTCATTTGAATCACACAAAAGGTGTGGTACAAATGGGATACACCAAAATGGAGTATCCAAAATGGGGTAGACCAACCAAAGCTCATTTTTATTAGTAGATATTTGCAGTAGGGCCTCTGCAAGTACCGGGGATAGAGCATCACTCTCTATCTGTCAGATTGGGATTATAGTCCAACTTACATCCTTCCAACGTACCGTCCGGTCGGGGTTGGGAGGCCCTCAGGGATGGGGTGTCATCCTTTTTTTTATTAGTAGATATTTGCAAGTTGCTTGATCTGAAATAAATGTTTTTTATTATACTACGCATTTAGTAGTAGTCTCAACTCTCTAGTCCTTAATTAACACCTATCTTGTATCAATCCGTTAACACAGGTTCTAGTTTTTGTGTTACATCATCTTCACTGACCAGCTGATCCCAAAATATTTTGAGAATAATTTTTTGTTGTTACAATATTGTATCATAAAAACTACTTCTGTCCTAAAAGTTAGTATCAATATGTCATGATTGGTAATGACTTTTGCACGGCTCCGTGTTACTAGTATATGATTTGAAAAAACATCTATTGGTACACACTATTGGTACACAAATACGTTTTGTCTGGAACAGACATAAAAAACGCATCACAGAAATGAGTGTGTACACAAAGTGTGTACTTCAAGTCTGATTTGATTTTAACAAAAGGCTTTGGAAAATTTGATCATGAAATTTGAACAATTTCAAATATCACTGTCTAGTGTCTCAAAAGGGGTTTTCCTCAAGATAACACTAAAGTGAAGTTCAATATGCATTTGTCATTATTTCAGGGCATATACATGCCAAAACTATTATTTTTAGTAGTGAAATAAAGAAGATAATTATGAAATACTAAAGGCTTAGGAGTATTTTATAACCGTAACTGAAAACAAAAAGAAAAGTTTTAGGAATCTATAAAAAGTGAATAAAGGGTAATAGACAAATTGACAAAGGTAAAATGAATATGAAAAAATTGAAGAACTTGAACAGATCGACAAATCATAAAAAGAAAGTACTGCTCCCTCCATCCCATATTTAATTCCGGTTTTGACCGGGCACGAGTTTTAAGATAATGGGATTTGTGTGGTGGAGAGTTATGCAGAAGAGAGAGAAATGTGTAAGAATGGTTGTGAACCACATATTCTTTACCAAAAAGGAAAAAAAGAGATAAATTTGGGACGAACCAAAAAGGAAAGAATGAAGATAATTCCGGGACGGAGGGAGTAGTATTTTCTAAGTCAATATACTAATTTGACTTACGAGCACTTAGGAGCTCTGTAAGCGCCGGAAAACGGCCTCCGGCCATTGCTATGCATCCCCTCGCTGGTTTTCCTGAAACCAGTATAAGTAAAAGTTGATTTTTTATATCATCGGAAAATGACTAATTAATTGTAGTATGGCCTTTTTACTTTTTAGTTAAAAATTAAATACGTCGCATATTTGAAATTTTCAGTCAATAATATTCCTTTTTTGATTGTGCCTAAAATAGTTCTCATTTCCCTTTTTAAAATATTTTTTGTGACTACCATTTATTTACCTTTTCTTATTCAACCACAATTATACATTTCCACTTTATTCCACTTTCTAAAACTTTGATGTAAGACAATGCGAGAACTATTTTATGGGATGGAGGAAGTACTAAACTTTGAATGATAATTTATTTGTATTCGAAAGTATTTACAATATGAAAACGATGTGAAAATGTTCTTCGTTAGAAATAATTTCAAAAATTTATATACTTTGTAAAAATACTCTGAAATATGAATTAATTAAAGGGAAAATAACTTTATATACTCACAACTATCTTCAATGAACAAAAAATGATACATACTTTAGAAATAACATGTAATAATATTTCAATGATCAAAGAAGTAGTACTCAAATTTGGAAATACGGTCACTTAATTATTTGATATTTTGATATTTGTGTTTTATGAGTTAAATTTAGATAAAAATTTGCTATATATCACTTTTGATACTTCCTCCGTTCTCTAATACTTGGTCCTCTTTCCATTTTGGGATGTTCTCTATTAGTTGTTTCCCTTTCCACTTTTGGTATGTTTTTTCAATAAATATACTCCTTTACCCTTATTCTCTTTCCTACTTTTTCATTCTTTTTCCTACTTTTACCTATACACACAACCCACTACACCTTTTATCCTACCCCTATTAATTCCTTCTTAAATCTTGTGGCAAAGGCTATATTGTCATCTATTAGAGAAAGGAGGGAGTATATGTATTGAAAGATAATATTTAAAGTTATTTGAGACCCAAGTTATTTTTGTCTAATTAAAACCATGGACTAGAAAAATAAAGTTTGCCTACAAAAGATCGAGGGAATTGAAGTAGTACAAAACCTGGGTTGACTATGGCGCGCTTTGCTCCCATTAGCGTTGTAAGTCCTCTGAGACCCACCGGCGAGCATCGCCGGTGTATAACAAATCTCCGTGGAGATGGTCGTTTTTCCCTTAAGATCAGACGACGGTGGAGCGCCAAAGTACGTCTGACGGCGCACGACGGCCGAGTCTTTGGTGTCCACGTTGCCGCAAGTGATGATATTCCGGAAAATGCCCGATTGTTGCGGGACTGCCCTTTTTTTCCGGTCTTCACCGCCGTCTTCTTGGATCTTATTTTTAGCAAAGAGAGAGCGGAGAGGAGTGGACGGCGACCTTGCGTCATCGGATTCGTCGCCGGTCATAGTCGAGGTTTCCCGGCGGCGTGGGAGAATGGGAGACGATGATTCGTCGTCTTCTTCCTCCTCGGTACTGATGATCTCTTCTGAGGCCGTTTTCTTTCCTGATGTGGGGTTATTTATGGGAGCTTGATGGTGATAGCAATGGCAATGACATCGCCATTGATTTGTTTCTTCTTTGGTCAGTTGCAGTTTCGAGTCGTCTTTATTATGGCCTTCATCTTTCTCCAACTCTAATTCCTTTTGCATGGGCGCACCATTTTCTATTTCACCAAATTATACCACGTACTATTACATATATATATATATACTAAATAAATTTACTTTTTTATTCATTTATTGCTCTAAAAATAACGGCATCTTTCAAAACATACCATGTTTTAATTTCTTCTTCTTCTTAAAGGAGTTAAAGTAGGAATATATAATAATACTACGTGCGTAATCGGTAATTAGAAAACACACATTATTTAATTAATGCCTCATAATACCAATGCAAATTAATTATAGTACTCTATCATTTAGGACGACAATAATCTACACCTATTTACAAAAAAATACACTCTATAGTCTATATTATGTCCGAAGTATATAATCGGGGGATCTATATATGGACTAGGGTGGACTGAAGTTCAGAGTAACTTAATTTTAGTGTAATATTTTCAGTTTTTCATATTTAGTCCACGTCGTTAATGTTTAAGTCTAGTATAATTATTATTCAGCACAACTCCATAGGGCATCCAGGTTCCTGCATCCGCGCCTGATATAATACTCAGTTTGATCCCGGTACAAAATATACCTTCTTCTACATAAATTTTCTTTTTTAAAATTTACTCAACACCTACCGACCCAATTTGTATACTAAATTATATTTTATTTGGAAAGTCATAAAACTTCCACCTAATATTTAATTAACACATTCCAAATTCATTCTCCGCTCTCCCATGAATTCTTTCTCTATTCCTAATTATTTTTCTTTCATCATTTAATTCTAGTTGAAAAATATAATGATGGGATGTCAAAACATAATAATTTCATCAATGACAAAATACAATACAACTTTCAAATCTAGTTTAGGGGTGAGTTCATGACAAAACCTAGTTTTAGTAGTTATATATATACTCCGTATGCATAAGGTCAATTTTTTCGGTTCCATTGATTTTTGCGAAATATAAAAGATCATATGGATTATTGGTTGTACTTCGTATATATAATATATACTGCGTATGTTTTATCACATAAAATTCTAGTCAGTTGATGACTGAAATACCATGTAACCGTCCATACTATTACCACGAATATTGACTTAGATGCATTGTAAGCCTGGGATTGGATCAAAATGTCATAGACGGTCTTTTAAAGAAAAATATGTGTCGAGATAAAATCGAATCGATTACTAAAACTTACCAAATCAAAGTAAACGTCACATATCAGGCAGTAATTTAATGCGGAAGCTTTCACATTAAAAACATGTTTAACTCATTGGAGCAAAAGAAAAAATGGAACAAAAGGAAGCAATTAATATAAAGTTCTGAAAACAGCTGTTTTTATTTTTTTGTTTCTAACATAATCACGTGTCTTCTTCACTCTAGAGAGAAAGGAACCCTAGCGATCGTCTCTCCTCTTTGTAGGGGTTGAAATTTTCCGTAGCCCCTATAAATATGAGGTTGGAGTGACATACTATTCTGGTTTTAAGTGTTCTAACATTTGGGATTGCAACTACGTCGCAAGAGATAGCGTTGGCGGATGAACGAGGTGCGACTGAGAGGTTGTATCGAGATTGGATCGTGAAGCCTTGATCGACCATTCCGACGGTGGTGAGGTTGGTATTTACCCATATGCCTGGAGTATTATTTTCTCTTTAGTAGCAATTGTTTCTGTTTTAGTTCGATTAGATTTGGTTTGAACGTTTGGATGTTTGCGTTTCTTTTGATAGATAGGATTTTTGTTCCAGTCATTTTAGGCCTAAATTTGCCCGTTTCAGGTTTAGCGAGTAATGTTGATTTGTATGAGATTGTTGACTCTAAGTTTACTCCTAGAGTTCACGATTGGATCTGTAAATTTTGTCTAAAGGTTGTCTTGTACTCCGTATATGTTCTCGATTTTAATATAACGGCTGCTCTTTTATGATTAAAAACATAAATATGTACACCCTTAAAAAACATAAAAATGTACATACACAAGAACAATTGTGGTTGTTTTAATTCATTTAAAACTTATACCCGTTATACGTAGTACTACGGTACGTATAATATACTACTTCCATCCCAAATAAACTTTGTCATTTCAAAAAAAAGAAATTGAACCTTGATTTTGATTAGTACTCCCGTCTCTAAAAGTTCTTCCAATTGCGGATTTGAAGTTTGACCAGAGAAAAAGTTGAATAAACCCAGTTAAAACTCGTATTACTTTTACTAAATAAAATTTTCATATTCAGAAACTGCAATAAAACCTCTACAAAGCCTGTAAAAAATAATTCAATTTTCATAAAATTTTGATGTATAAAGTATAAGAGTTTAAAAGCGATTTAACTTGATTCTCGAAAAGCGAAATGGAAGTTCTTTTATGGACTGAGGGAGTATAATATTACGGAGGTTATAAATTTTTTACTTTTATGAAAGTACTTTTAACAAATAACATTTTCATATAATTTTTATATTATAAATAATTTTCAACAAAAAGATATCGTTGATTAAAGTTTTGAAAATGGCAAAAAAAATTGGGATAGAGGTAGTATCTTCTAACCCTAGAATCTTCACAGTTTGACTCTTTTGGGTCAAACTTTAAAAACTTTCACCATTAATTATTCAAAACTCACATTATGTTACGATTAAAAATTTATTTCATATACCTCATTGTTAAATATATTATTTGAATGTTAGTTTCTTATGAATTTTATAAATGTAGATATGTAGATATTTAGAGTTAAAGTTCAACTTAGAAAATATTCTTTGCATCTGAATGTTAAAAATTTATTTCATATACCTCATTGCCACTTTTATGAAATTGCATTTCTTACGATGACAGTTTTGACCTGCTTGTCATTCTTTGCATCTGAATGTTATCTTTACTCGAAAATGACATGTTTTACTAACTGTAAATGTCATCTTTCTATTCCAAAATGTCAACATTATTTTAACATGACAGTACATAAGATGTCATTTTTTTAAAAAAATGACATGTTTATTTTTTATATAACATTTAAGGATAGCTTGAAAATTACATGTTTTTCCATATGCAACTGACATGTTTTTATACAAAAATGTCATCATAATTTTAACATGTCATATGTTTTCAAAACTTGTGATTTTGTTGCACGAGGAGGTCATGCACTAATGGTTGATGGTGGTTGGTGTCTCGCCGGAGGGTGGCAGACGGAGGTTGTGGTCTGATTGGACGGCGGCGATGTTCTGTGGCAGCACCGCTAGAAGCACCAACAACGATGGAGGCCGTTGTGCATCGCTAGTGTGCATAGCAATAGTTGCTCGACAGAGCATTAGGCTTTAATTAAAGGTAGTGTTGGTCCAAAATAGGACGCTCGTAGGCTTTTAGGAAAGCTACGTACGACACTCAAGCAAGAATTAAGAAAGTACGAATATGGAAAGTTAGCCAGAAATAGCATATCTGTATTTGAAATTCGAATTGCCTTTTATAGGCGATTACAAATGGTAACTGCCGAACATAATAATGACTAAATTAATTACAACATTAATGCGGAATTAAACACATAATTAAGTCGCGCATTGATCGTTGGCCGTTACTCTTCCTGGCTGGCAGGTCAGCCTGGCTGGCAGGTCAGCCTGGCTGGCAGGCTGGACGCTTGAGCTCCCTCCTGATGGACTGGACGGTGGGCTTCCCGCTAGGCTGGAGTAAGGCTTCTGACCGGGCTGAAGGCAGGCTCCTGGGTAGGCTGGAAGGCAGGCTCCCGGGTAGGCTGGAAGGCAGGCTCCCCGTTGGGCTGGAGGCAGGCTCCCACCTGGGCTGGACCGCAGGCTCCCAGTTGGGCTGGTGGTCGGCAGGCTCCTGGCTAGGCTGGAAGGCAGGCTCCCCACTGGGCTGGAAGGCAGGCTCCCCACTGGGTTGGAGGCAGGCGCCTGGCCAGGCTGGAAGGCAGACCGCTGGCCGGGCAGGACGGCAGGCTGCTGACTGGGCTGGTAGGCAGACTCCCTGCTAGGCTGGAGGCAGGCACCTGGCCAGGCTGGAAGGCAGGCACCTGGCCGGGCTGGAAGGCAGGCCACTGGCCGGGCTGGTAGGCAGGCTCCCTGCTGGGCTGGACGGCAGGCCGCCCTGGGCTTTCACTCTTTGATGGGCCTGATCGGTTGGGTCAGAATGAGCTCTGGATCACTGGGCTTGGGCCTGCTGGTCCAAGTTCGGGCCTGGGCTGATTAGGCTCTGGGCCTAGTCCCATAACCCCATCACGAGTCTCCCACTCCCTTAGTCGAGTAGTAGACCCGGCTAAGAGGGAGTAGTTTAAGTCAACTGCCGATTTAAAAATATTCACATATCAAGGAATCATAATTGTGGATTATGTTAATCCCGGAGTTTATGGAAATTCCCAAATTAAATCAGGCTCCCAAAAATTCCTTTCCTTTTCTTTTCTTTCCTTTCTTTTCTTTCCTTCTTTTTTCTTTCCTTTTCTTTTTTTTTTGCACCTTCTTCCTCATCTCTTTTCCTCTGCAAGGCGTCCTCCGCCTCGGCTTGCCGGTCGGCACGGCCGAGCGCCTCCTCGTACGAGGTGGGGGGACTTCTGACAAAATCTTTGTAAAGCTCGCCCGATCGGATAGAGTTTGTGAGCATGGCCACCCCGATCCTGTCATCAAGGCCCTGAACCTTGACTGACTCGGCCCTCCACCTCGCTAGAAAGGTCGACAATGATTCCTTCTTCCCCTGTTTTAGGCCGAACAGGTGGCTGAAGTTTTTCTTGACGTCTCGGGAGCTCGCGAACCTCAAGAGAAAGCGCTGAGCCAACTCACGGAAATTCGTGATACTCCCGTCGGATAGAGAGTCATACCATTCACGAGCCGGGCCATCCAAAGTGGCGGAGAAACCGCGGCATCGGATGGCGTCCTCGTACCCCATCATGACCATGTAGGAAAGGTACCGAGATACATGATGCTGGGGGTCAGAAGCGCCCTTGTATGCTTCAATGGCGCAGGGCTTGTAGTCCCTCGGCAACGGCGCATCCATGACCGCCCGGGTGAAGGGTTCGGGTATCCGGAGGTCGGCCGTGTAAGGCTCCCCCCTGACGACCCTCCTTCTCAACTCGTCAAGGCGCTGTCGTAGATCTTCCACCTCGGCCGGCAGTGGGTTCCCCCGGACAGCTCTAGCGCGGGGCTGGGCATGTCCGGCGGCACCTCCAAGTCGTCCGTGCACGTGAGGTCGGGGCCCCACGTTTTGCCTCTCTGTGGAGCCAGTCCGACTGCTCGCCCGGTGAGAGTGGCGAGAGGGCTCGCCTCCTTCCATCTACGTTGGGCGCCCCTGCTGGGCGCCCCTCCCCGTCTGCCGATGGCGTCAGCTAGGCTGCTGAGAGACTTCTTCCCCCCGCCGATGGGAGACTTCTTCCCCCCTGTTTTGGTTGGATCCGGGGCGTCGCTCATCACGCCGCCTGGAGGACACCTCCACATCCGCTGGCGTCTGTTGACGGGCAGGCTCATCCACATTTCCTCCAGACACCATCTGTTGGAAATTTTGAGCCAAGGTCCCCAGAACCCGAGTTGCCTCCTGCAGGGCTTCCACCCCGGCATTGAGTCGAGCCGGGTCCATGCACGGAGCATGACGTCGGCCTCCCCCCCCCGCCGGCTGCGGACCGAGCGCTCACCTTGAGTGTGTTTGAGCGTCGCCCTAAGGTCGCCGTGGCCTGATAATTGGTTCCGAAGGTCGCCTTGGCGCACCGCCCTCCTGCCCTGTGCATGGTTGTCGAGGGCACGCTGGCGGCCAGACCGGGCGGACTCCTCGGTGTGGACTGAGACATGGTCACGTCGAGACCAGATTCCGACCATCTTCCTGTGTGATTCCTACTCAAGTTATGTGAGAGACAATAGAGGTTCTCAATGAAAGCACCAATGTTGGTCCAAAATAGGACGCTCATAGGCTTTTAGGAAAGCTACGTACGACACTCAAACAAGAATTAGGAAAGTACGAATATGGAAAGTTAGCCAGAAATAGCATATCTGTATTTGAAATTCGAATTGCCTTTTATAGGCGATTACAAATGGTAACTGCCGAACATAATAATGACTAAATTAATTACAACATTAATACGGAATTAAACACATAATTAAGTCGCGCATTGATTGTTGGCCGTTACTCTTCCTGGCTGGCAGGTCAGCCCTGGCTGGCTGGCTGGACGCTTGAGCTCCCTCCTGCTGGACTGGATGGTGGGCTTCCCGCTAGGCTGGAGTAAGGCTTCTGACCGGGCTGAAGGCAGGCTCCCGGGTAGGCTGGAAGGCAGGCTCCCGGGTATGCTGGAAGGCAGGCTCCCCGTTGGGCTGGAGGCAGGCTCCCACCTGGGCTGGACCGCAGGCTCCCAGTTGGGCTGGACCGCAGGCTCCCAGCTGGGCTGGTGGTCGGCAGGCTCCTGGCTAGCCTGGAAGGCAGGCTCCCCACTGGGCTGGAAGGCAGGCTCCCCACTGGGTTGGAGGCAGGCGCCTGGCCAGGCTGGAAGGCAGACCGCTGGCCGGGCAGGACGGCAGGCTGCCGACTGGGCTGGTAGACAGGCTCCCTGCTGGGCTGGACGGCAGGCCGCCCTGGGCTTTCACTCTTTGATGGGCCTGATCGGTTGGGTCGGAATGAGCTCTGGATCACTGGGCTTGGCCCTGCTGGTCCAAGTTCGGGGCTTGGGCCGATTAGGCTCTGGGTCTAGTCCCATAACCCCATCAGGTAGTTTTGGTAGATTACTTCTTTTTAGTCCTATTTTTGTCAAATAAAACATAGCAGTTCTGTTTTTGAAATTCTACCTAGTTTTAATTCACTCATCAGACATCATGAACGAGCACACTAGTATTTTTGCACAACGAGGGTTTCGTTTTCATGATTTAAAGTGACCCACTTATCTTCTACTGTTCTACATTTCCAATCGCCACGTATAAGTATAACTATACTCCGTATTTTTCTTTTCTCTCTCTGTCTTTAAAGTACAAGCTCTATCCCATATTTATGTCCTTATTTGACTAGGAAATGTGTGTCGGAGAGTTTAGTAGAGTAAAAAGAAATGTGTAAGAATGGTTGTGAACCACAAATTCTTTGTCAAAAAGGAAAAAGGTGATAAATTTGGGACGGACCAAAAAAGAAAGTATGGAGATAATTCTGGGACGGAGGGAGTAATATTTTTCTAAATAAATTTAGAATTCTAATTTCTAATCTTACGGTCACCTCTATAATGAGAAGTTTCAGGTTCTAAGTTTATAAAATGAAACCCATTTCGTGAGCTTGTTGGTCATGGAGATATTGAAATCTGTTAGATTTCTACAAAGTTAAAATTTGCTGACAATTTTTTAAAAAATTTATCTGCTCAACGATTTACATTTCTTCATGGTAATATGCAAATAGTTTCTCTGCAGATTGAGGATGTAATAATGTAGTTCATTATTATTAATATTATTTCACACAGTTAGTTTTTAGCTCATATTGATACAAACGTTTTTAGTCCTATTTTGGACAATTTCTCAATTTAACTAATGTAAATTTTTCAACCGATAATATGATTCAAATTTATGTCCAAAAGTGATTATATCTATGCTTATATTCCATTATACATTACTTTTATCTATGTCATCCATATATGATAAACTGTATGCATGCAATTCCAACCAACATAGGATTTTTTAGCTTGAATTTGATTAGTATTACTGGCTGAAATTTTATGTGTAGTTATAGGTCCGGTCATTTAATAGTTAACGTACGTACTAAAGTGCAATGTGCCATTAATTAAAATACACTTTAAGCATTTTTTCGGTTTAAACAACTTATGTCGTGCTTCACACAATAATATTTATTCAAACAATAAGTTCTTTCTTAGAAACATTATATTACCTTTTTTTGAACGAAATCATTATATTACCTAAACATTACATATACTACGTATGTATTAATTTATATTTATATACTTGCCTTTGGTAGGTGTGGATGAGGTAATTTCGGATCCTTTGAGGACGTATTCATTGTCCGAAATCGGTGTGAGGAGATCATCGTCCACAACGTCTTGCCATACATATCCTGTCTTGTATTTCCTGCATAGTATGTGTGTACAATATTGCTTGCTATATTTAAACCCGGTCATTTTTTTCTCAATTATATAAATTAATTAATTCTTTATTTCCTTCTTTAAACAACCGCATATCTTTCGTACTATGTCACTTCCAAATAAAGTTGTTCTGGGATTTAGTTTTGTTTAATTTGTGTCGTAAGTTAGTAAACTATATATGTGGCTCAATTGCTCAAAGCTTCAACTTACACGTATTGATCAATCTAAATCACGGAGTATAAATTGCTCTAAATAGGAGCAAAAACGTTTTGAAATTCTAAAATATAAGTATCATGTTTTTTATTCCCTGAATATGAGTAATCTGCCAACTTTGGAAACAAATGCCATGTTTAAAGCATAAAAATGTCAAACTTGGCAGAAATTTACTCATATTCAAGGAATTAAAAATATGATAGTCCATTTTGGAATTTCAAAACTTTTTTACTTCTATTTAGGAAATTCTCTCATTAATATAATACTTCGTAATGTAGAAAATACGTAGAACGTATTTTAATTAATAAGAAGGAAGCAAATGCTAGCACCAACCTCTTATATGACCAGGCAAATGACGAGGGCAATTCTTTTCCTCTCAATTCCCCTAACCATCTCTTCACGTCTATATACATTTCCATAATAACATAACAATAATTTAGTAATAGTTACTTCCTCCGTATCTTTTTAGTTGTAACAGTCAACATTTTACGTTTGCCAACGCACAACTTTGACCGTCATTATATTTAATTTTGTATTAGTAAAAATAAAATAAAAATCAGATTATAAAACTTAGTAATGAGACGAATTTAACAACATTTTTCAAAAAAAATAATTCACATACATTAATAAATAAAATGTAGTCAAATTAAAGTACATGAATAGTGTATACATTCCAATGTTGCAATTAATGAGATACGGAGGATAGTATTACGTTAATAAACATTCGGCCTTACAAAACAAAAATATGATTGAATATTTGAATGCCCTCAGAACAATAATTTTCACTTTTTGATCCTATAAATATCACTTTTTAACTGTCGAAGTTTAATTTGTCTGGTCTTATTATTTTGGTCAGATTTGATATGTTTTAAGTCTTACTCCGTATTTGGGAATTGGGACTAATAAAGCCAATACATAAGTAGTTGTACTCGCCACCGGTACACATAATAACAAAAACTTGAATTTTATGAAAAACTATATACTTCGTACGTGGTAATAAAATCTCATAGGAAACCATATCTTTTGTGTTTCAAATTATGTTTTTGTTATTATAATTAAATTGTACTCCATACTTTAATTCGCAAGGAGATTAAATATTTATTTCTAACATACACACATCAATAATACATCATGCGTCCTAAACGTAAGATTAATATTGATTTGCAATTTTCAATTTGTAAGTTTTTTTGTAAAACAATTTGTAAGGTCAACTAACCGTAAAATTAGAACACTTATCTTAGTATTTAAATTAATTTTATTACTCTAAATTTACATATTTAGAACCTACTTTCCAAATATTTTATACTACGTAATTGCAAAAATCACACTGGATCGAGTATGAAAAGAAATTGGTACTCAAAATTCATAGAAAAAATAATCGGAGTTGACAAAAAAAAGTAGATACAAACACGTGATTAATTGACATTTTCAATTGTTACGAACCTCGGAGGTGGACACCGTGGCGGGAGAGATGGTGGACTCGGAAGAGATGTGGGTGTTCGGTGCGGCCCTTCCGGCTGATAAAATAGATTATGTGAAGCTTTCGTACTTCGGCGGCGGCGGCGGCGGCGGAATGATGAACCTCCTCCATATTTTATTAACCTGAACGTTAGTTGTCCTTGAAAACGGACGTGCGGACCACGGCCTAGACCGGCCGGCAAATTAATAATGTAGTTGATTATTTATAAAACTACATATACTCTAAAGGGAATGAATATAATATAATGAATTCCTTAGTTTAGTGCTTCCTTAATTTTTACGTACGACAGCTCATCAAAATTTCTATACCTCGCCGTACGTCAATCGAGATGCATAATTGAATCAAAGAATTATTAGCAATCCGATATGCAGGCCGGCCTAATCAGTAATCAGGTTTACGAATATAGTAATTACGTACATTGCTATATATAGTACGGAGTATTATATAGTAATCACGTGACGAAAAAAAAATCAAATATTATATAGAATTAAAATAATTACCTTGCTATTTTAAAGAATAAAGAATCCTTTTGGGTTTGGAGTACCTTATATTTGACTGTGCCTTGCTTCTTGCGGAGGAGAGAATGAAGAAGTGAAGAAGAAGGGTACGTAGTAGGAGAAAACGAGGGTAAGTTACATCTTAGGCTACCCATAAGCTAAGGCAATAAGCCAGGTATTACGTAGATCAGAGACCATTTCCTTATTTATTTTACAATTTACGAAAAATATTTTTTAGAGTAAAATACCTCATTTTCATTCATGTAGAGAATCATTCTCCAAAAGGCTCATCATAATTATAAAAAAAGGCTCAAAATACAATGAGGAGCATGATAAAGAAACACCCTACCTCCAACCTTAGAAAGGACAACTCTAGTTAAAGTACAAGCTACACGATTCACGGATTTTAACTACTATTGGAACTTATCTTGTTTTGTTCGATATAAATAATTGTCATGCTTGTCTATATCTCATCTGTATGAAGCTATATTATTTTACACGTGGCACATCTCTCTTGTATGACTAAGCAACCACTTTATGGAAGTAATCATTACTTGTGCTAAATGAATACCTTCCTGTATTTATAGTTGTCCGTAGCATGCTATACTTGGTAAAATCATTCTTGATTGAAATATTAAATAAATATCTTTTAGAAAGGATCTCGGAATATGGAGATTATTGTAGCTCGATTTAATCTGATTACATGAATATTTTGTTGCTACTTACTGTCCTTTGCACATTTACATAATATGTCACGCCCCGGACCTATTCGGACACGTCAACAACCCGCCGTACAATACGAATAGTCAACCGCAATCCGACTCATCCATACTATACAAGGCGTCTTGAATACCATTCACACATAGTACATCCATAAACAAACATAATGTAAAATAAACATTTATAGCAGCGGAAACATTTAACGTAAGTGTTTATGCCACACCTTGGCAATCATGGGCGTACAAGCCCCCAAATAATTATTCAAAAAGATAATATCCATGAGCATTATTTAAGTTGTTTCAAAACAGAAACGGAAGAAGCACGAACCACGTCTTCTCCCTTTGATCTTCCTGAAGCAACGGGCGGTGGCAGCAACCTTCAAGTTCTACCTGAAACTGTGAGGTGGCCTCCCCCGTGAAGGGGAGGTCAGTACTTAGAAATATTTGACAAGTACAATAGCAACTATACTAAGTATAATTGATGTTTTAATTTCTAAGACCCTCGACTTAGTGTACTATTATATTATAGGCCATAACCCTCGGTTACCCCTTTTTCTTTTAACTGTACTTACTTTATATAGAGTCAAGTAGTCGGCCCGTGGGCCCATATTCATTTAGAAATCATCATTTCCATTCCCCCGTGACCGCAAGTCACGATAACCCCGTGGGGTCCCATCGAGCCCCAATTGTATAGCATGGGCTCGGCCCAACTACATTTCTATACAATCCTCTATCTCAATATAACATATCAAAATTTGTATGGCAAGGGCTCGGCCCAACTACGTTTCCATACCAACCATAACTTCGTGGCAAGGGCTCGGCCCAACTACGTTTCCACGGAGATCACATATACATGGCAAGGGCTCGGCCCAACTACGTTTCCATGCTAATCATATTACATGGCATGGGCTCGGCCCAACTACATTTCCATGTCATCCTAGAGTCCAACTCTAATTATCTTCATAATCAACTTCTCAAGCTAATCCTATGCCTAGAATCAATTCCCGTAGGTGGCTTTTAGGCCTACCTCTATCACACCTTAGTGTCCATACAATTCAACCTTAAGTATCTCTTGAGACTACTTAAGGCATATCTATTCACAATCCTACCTCTTAGGATTTGTTTCACCGTTTATTTATATTAATTCCCCGACTAGTATTTTGATACTAATTGTATAATCTTAGAACATGTCAAGTTCCTATTTTTCATTTGGCATTTCATTTCAATTGATTTCCCAACCCAAGTATAGTTTGATCTCAATATCAAAAATATCACTTTAATCCATTCATGAATTTTCGTACATGAAGTAAAGTATATTTTATCACAATGTCATCATAGTAATTCCATTAACATGCCGTTCCATTCATTTCACATAATCATACACAATTATTCTAAATTTGTATATCATGCTTCACTTACTCATATCCATATTATTTTCGTTTAGGCATTATTAATCATTAATAATCCATGAAAATCCCATCTAATTACTTTAGGCAATCTTATGAAATTAACTCAATAATTATAAGCAATATAGTCAGTCATCCTCACCTTATGAAGTGCTGAAATAGTTGCCTTTGCTAAGCTCCTCGATCAATCCCCATTCTAGGCCGATTGAAAGTGAAAAACTGGATTTCTGGGCAAAAGTCGGGCGGCTTTCGTGGTCTGCAACTACGACTAGCTCCTTTGAAGTGGCGGTTTCCGGCGATTTCGACTCCTATCGATTTGCCAACCCTTCCAAGTTAATTACCACCTCCTTCTATCAATATTCTACACTTTTAAACGTGTAGAACTCATGATTTAATTCACCATATGATTTCTAACAAATCATACAACATAAACTAGCAAAAAGGGTAGAAGTGATGTTCTTACCTCTTCTTCTAGCTCTTTCTTGCTGGTTTTCCTCTCTTGGTGCCTCCCCTACTCTTATGGCCTCGTTGAGATAACCCCTGGAGCTCTCCTCTCTTGTGTGGTTCAAGGAAATGCTAGGATGAATGATTATCACCATCCACCTAAGTCAACCCATAAAAACAAGGGAGTAGGGTAATGGTGGGTATGGGTTTTGTCTCTTGGAGACTTCCCACCTACTAGGTACACCCCCCAGCTGCTTCCTTGTCATTTGCAGCACATTGGGTCGTGGGGTGGCCCCCACTTATGTGGGTGGTCATCCCATTATATCCCGGTGTGTATAATTGGTCCCGAAAGTTGTATTTTTCGGACTACTTTAGTCATATTTTATTTTATCGGGCCGGATAAAATATATCACGCGTTCCCAACAATTTTGGGCCTTTAAAATAGATGTACAATCCCCAACATTAATTTAGGAGTCTCCGAAACTCATTTCGGACTGTCATCCGCTAAATCGCCAATACCAGTAATTGGGCCCCGTTTGACCAACCGGTCAACTCCATGCCTTTCTTATGGCCCAAATATAATATCCACCACCATATACATATTATCCATACCAAGATGAATATAATATGTGGTTCAAGAATTATCGGGCGGTCCCCGTTCCCGCTGTGGGCCCCACATGCAATTTACTATTCACGTAAAAGAAATAATAACATTTAACAATTACGTAAATTCATAAATCGTCTTTCAAGGTTTATTACATATTTTACTAAAAGTAAATATGCTCGGGGTCGGTGTTACATAATAAGTAAAACTATATTTCCTTATATGATGGCTAGTAAATCATGAATCAATTTTGCTCATGATTGACCGAATAAAAGAGGAGCTACTAGAAGGAAAGTAATTCAAAGATATCAAGGCAAGTCTACACATCTTCTAAGGAAAGAAGGATCAACAGATATCTTCTGGGCTATATATAGTCAAAGACCAAGAGAAGAAAGGGGTGCTTGACCGAGCAATTACAGAGAGAAATACGTATAAAGACTATCAAGACCAAGGCACCTGGACCTGCTCATAGAGGTCTAGATATAGTTTCCTTTCTCTTCTTTATCCTGTAACTAGATTTTGAGGAAAAGCTAAAGTGTAGCTTCCTCGGTTAGGGTCGTGTGTGTGAGAGTTTTGTTGTAAAGTTGAGAGGCTCTCTACCCGCAAGGCAGAGATGCATAACTCTTCCTAGAGAAGATAGAGTTGGGGTGGCTCAAGGGTAGATTAAGAGAATTTACCTTGTAACCACAAAAGGCTTTTTAGTGAAGTTGTTTAAAATTCCTCCGAGGGAGGTCGAGGATTTTTAATCCCTTTGAGCTAAGGGATTTTTCCTCGTTAAATTCTTGTGTACTTTACTATTTCGCAATTCCCTGAACCCCACACTAGAACTGTGCGAAAAACTGCCACGGTTCCACACACACACAATTCACCCCCCTCCCCTCTTGTGTTACTAACCGTTTCATCAATTGGTATCAGAGTCGGTCTTCACCACATAAAGGCTAATACCTTGGGATGAGATCCGGCAGCATGAATACGGTTGAACGATTGGAAGAAGGATACTCGACTCAACGACCACCGTTCAACGACAAATTTTACCAATTTTGGAAGAGTCGAATGGAGAACTTCATCAAGGCTGAGAACTACCAGGTATGGAACGTAATTGAGGCAGGTGATAACATCATTACTAAGGTGGATGCCGAAGGTAAGGTTGTCCCTAAACCCGAATCTGAGTTTACTTCTGATGATTATCGTAAACTCGAGCATAATTCCCAAGCATTGAAATATTTGATTTGTGGGCTTGGTCCGGCTGAGCACAACCGTGTTCTTGGATGCAAATCCACAAAACAAATGTGGGATTTACTCGAGGTTACGCATGAAGGTACCTTGCGTGTAAAAAGGTCCAAAATTGACATATTTATGCGAAATTATGAATTGTTCTTAATGAAACCTAAAGAGTCAATTAGGGACATGATTACACGCTTCACTAATATTATAATGAGCTTTCAGCGCTAGGGAAGGAGATTACTGTGGAAGATCAAGTAAGAAAAGTTATGAGAAACTTGTTGTCCGTATGGAAGCCTAAAACTACGGCAATAGAAGAAGCTAAGGATCTCTTCACCATGACACTAGAAGACTTGACCGGTTCACTCATGACATATGAGTTAGGCCTACAAGAAGAACAAGATGCCGAGAATGTGAGAAAGGAGCGAGGAATAGCTCTCCAGGCTCGAGAGGAAGAAGAGGAATCCGAAAGTGAATCGGAAGACGAAATGAGCATGTTTGCCAAGCAATTTGGAAAGATGTACCGAAGATTCAAAGGCAACCAGAATAAGCAAGGTAAATA